ATATTGGAAAGATGATAAAATTATGGCTGCTTTAATAAAGACTTCGCGTCTTAGTCACACATACAATTAGGAATAAGAAAAGTTATGCCAACAAAACGCTATTAAATATAAAAATTCCGGTTTTCGCGGATAAAAAGCAATAAATAAATTTAAATGAAAATGAAAATGAAGAAATAAAAAGAAGAAGAAGAAGAAGAAGAAGCGGATGGGGAAGCAGAAGAAGAAGAGCACAAAATCATCGAAAATCGAAAGTGTGTACGAAAGTCTACACTGGCCACCAGATGAGCAGAATATTATGCTTGGCGACCAATAAAACTCATATACATGTATGTAAATCGTTTAATTGAAATTTATGTTTATTTGTACAGATATCATTAAAATGCATTTAAGCGTTTAAGTGAATGCATGTATGTTGCAAAGCATTACAACTCTTTGTAATTTTGATGTAATTTCTTAACTGTATAAATTGTGCTTTTACGATTATAGGCAAATTAGTTAACAAGTAACGATAACATACAACATGTTTGCCATGTTTGCCATATGAAGCTGCATTTGTGTGTTGATTATGTTTAAGTTCAGCTTTTTTTTTTTTTCAACTTTTTTGTTTTGCTTTTTCAAGTTTTCCATTACAAATTTATTTTTTACTTAAGTTTACTTTTTCAATTAAAATTTTGTGATCAAACATTAAAACGCTATAAATATGCATTTAAATGAATTTAACCTTGTGCTGTTATGTGATAGGGATGCAAAAACAGTTTATGTGACCCAAACGTGTGTGTAGGTTTGTTTCTTTAATAGATAAAGTAGGTGTTTTTTTTTTTTGCTTTCGTTTTTTTTCTTTTTTTTTTTTGTTTTTTGTTTAAAGTTATAGTTAATACCGAGAGTTGCGCCAACACCTTTTTGAGCGGAAAAAAGCACAAGACACACCTTATTGTTGAATAATTTTGCAAAAAATTAAAAAAAAAAACAAATTGTCGACAACGAAAAGGGCAAAGTACGGAATACTTTTACTTAAGTAATTTAATTTTGATACCCACCGGCCACCCACCGTAGGGATAGCAAATACAACTTTTCATTACATTTATTACATTTAAAGTAATGTGCATCACAATGTGCATCGACAACTCGTTTTTGGTTAAGGCTTAAGAATTAATATTTTAAACTCGATCATAATATCGGGCACTTTTCAGGACTTTTCAACATTCTGGTCATTTCTTAAGGACAACACAGACATCGAATCATCGCAGACAAACATGAATTAAATAAAAAAAAAAAATGGGACAAAATAGGGCAAAAGTTCTAGATTTTAAATCAAAAGCATTGCATGGGCTGCTCATACAAACTTATGTGATGCGTTGGAAAGTGAAGTTGTAATGAAATGATCGGACCTGTCAAAGATGGTCTGCCCAATTTCTTTCCAAAGATTCCGATCTTAAAGAATATCGTCAATCTGAACGATAAGAACATTTTACAGTCCACTCTTGTCAACCACTTTGCAACTGCAAAGTTACTCAGCATCCATCATTCGACTGCGGGGAAATGAATCAAACGTGCCTCTGACGGATGTCTAACCGTCACTATAATAGCTAGAAAATTAGCAGAAGCTCGAAAACCCGAAGGTAATAAATAAAGAACGCTTTAAGGAAAACGAAAAAATCCCATTTTCTCTAAATTTCTTTTATCAAAATTCGTTCTCAATTACGATAAATCTACGGAAATCAATATCGACAATGACTGTCGTTAACATTACAAAAGTGAACAATTGATATTTTATGGTAAATTCCATAAGTAGTAATATTCAAATAATTAAGGGGTGGAATATTGACTTTGTGCACAAACATAGTGACGACGATCGGGATTTTGTGCTGACAAGTCGTTTTCAAAGAACTGAAATATTTCTGCGAACAGTTTGTCAAGCAATTGTCGAGCAAGGATTCGAAATTAAATGCGTATAAAAACACGAATGTGGAGCTATCGAGGTAGCCCTACGTGCTTTAGGGGCTAATACTAGGGCAAAAGCCCAAAAAAGGCATTTTTTCCAGTTTTTGAATGGAAAAAATACTAATAACTTAATAATAATAGTCGCGGAAGTTAATTGTTCTTGAAAAACATCACAGAATGACACAACACTGCAAGCATTCTTTTGTTCAATGAAATGTCAAGTTTAGCATTGCATCGAGGGATTTGCATTTTTATAAAACTTAGGCAATGCAAGTTCAACTATGAACTTTTTAACCAATCCGTTCTCTCTCTCTCTCTCTCTCTCTCTCTCTCTCTCTCTCTCTCTCTCTATTCTTTGCAAAAATCTAAATGAATGCCTAATATATCTGTCGGATTGCATAGGTCTCATTAAAGCTCACGTTCTGTCGGTGTTATGCTTAACTTACACTAAATTAAATTAAACTAAAATTTATGAATTTTACGGTTATCCTATTATCCCGTAACATACTAAGTAATGTGGCTGTATTTATGCTAAGCCTTGGCAGGTTTGCACTGATTAATTGTTCACGTGGTGATGCATGCCAACTGTGAGTGTACAGTTGGGTGACATGAGTAAATAACTTACGTTTTGCTTATTCTTGTGTGTAAAAAACAATCTCGTAGTTTTTAAAACTTCTTCTACTTTAATTAAAAGTATTTCATTATTTAAGCTCCTGGCTTCTATGACATAGGTCCGAATAGGTGGAAGCCATACCCTTTTCAACTAATATTCCCAATGAAAACATTTATTATTTCGACTCAAAAAGAAACAATCCCTTGTTAGCTTATGAAGCTTCCATTAGTTCATGGAAAATTTCCATGTGTTTCACTAGGCAACTAAGGTTTATATAATATTTTCGGGATATCAAATTGCTGGCACACAATCCTAATTTTCATATCATTTTTAATTTTTAATATTTACATTTATATTTATTTCTATAATTATTATATTTTTTATTATTAGTTTTTTTTTTTAGCGTTTTCTAGGACAGCGGTGGCGAGTATAAAAGAGTCGATCACGACCGAGTATAATTTTCTTACTTGTTAAATTGTCATTTAATAAAATTAAAAAAACCATTTATACAAATCAATGGCTTGTCCGTTACATTAATAATAAAAAATAAACAAAATTGAATAGAAGTAAGTGAAAGAAACGACATAGCATAACAAACGATGTTGATGGCGTTAATAAACCAGGAAAACATCACAGCGATGTGTTCATTTAAAAATTTTATTAACTTAATTTCAACTAAATTCGGTTCACGTGAAACTGTGACACTGTGTGATGTTGAGAAACGAACTTGACTTGACGGCCAAAGCCGAATACACACCAAATTTAATTCTAAATGCCTCTCATTTTCAAATTTTCAGTCGAAATGAAAATAAAAAAAATATATATACATATATATATATGTATATGTATATATATATGTATATATTGAAGTTTTGCATACAACACATAATAAAAGAACGGTACAGTCGTTTTGCAAAACTATCTCAAACAGTTGCCCACTAATTAAGGAAATGGGACTTAGTTTGGCAATTTGTGTCGTATTCTTACTCAGAACAATGAAATCATTGTAATTTTTCGCTTTGACATAGAAAGCGCCCAGTTTTTAGTCGAACACCGTAGTAATTGCTGATGAGAGCAAAATTGAACTTAGAAACGTGTTTTCTCGCAAATTCTAATCTTAGTTGTGTATTACGTTGTTGTACCAATGGCTTACGGCGAGCATCGCATTAGTCATATACTCATAATTTGGATATGCATCGGAGGCAGTGGAGTCGGAAAACTGACGTTTATAAATGACATCCTAAACGAGAATTTGTTCGCCACATACCGTCTGCATCGACATCTCACTTTGGTTGCAAATAATTGTACGTTGATTGTAACCTTTTGTCTCGATACGTAACAATTGTGGCTATTTTCAATGAAAGAATTCCATATACTTATGATCAATGCAAATTGATCTGTTTGCGATCGTATACTACGTTAAGTTTTTTTTCATCCAAGCGAATAAGTTGTGAAATATTCTTAAACTCTTTCCTACTTTCCTACTCATAGTTTATCCAAGAAAGTTCGATCCTCACCTTTTAGACCGTAAATAAGACAATTGCAAATTATTGACATCGTAAGCATCAAGTGCAAACAAAATTGCAAGCAAGATCTAAAACTTTTCCCAAATAGACGTCATTTTTAAACCAAGAACCCAGAAAGCTTCCATTTTTCCACCACGACTTACATTGCCCCTCATTATGTTTCGTATTGGATATCCGGTAGGTTCAAATGCTCCTTTAAAAATGGTATTTATTGGTCTCCTTCGTTGAGTGCATCCAGCTTTTATTTTAGTCCAGATAGTTCCATCAGTATTTGGACTAGAACTAGTAATTTTATTATCCGGGCATTTTGATTCGACGTCGACGTAGTGGCAGAGTGAAGTAATTCTTACCCTAGTTTCTATAATGCTTTCATATGAAAAACATTAAAAATAAGAATCGGTATATATATATAGATATATCAAATAAATTTAGAATTGAAAGAGGAAGTCTTGTAAACAATTGAAACAACCGGCCATTTTACTCGGTCGGTTTGCTTGATCTAGTGTTATGTACTTAGGTTTAAGTACTTACGCTTAGTTTAATTATGAAAGATTTTTCGTTTATTGCAGTTTAGTAATTAGGGGTGTGGTCGTTGTCGATCTGCCATCGGATGCAGTTTTCAGTTGATTTATAAAAATGCATTTTTGAATGCAAAACTATCTTGACGAGAATTACGATCTATAGCGTTGTTGAAAGCATTTGCCAACAATTCTGATACGGGGAATAAGAACATATGGACTTTTAAAAAAATACATCAATTAGGTTTAGACATTTGGGATTTTATGTATAGAGAACTTAACGTACATTTCTTCTATGTTATGGTTTTAATTGCATAGAAGAGAAACAGTCTTGATTGAATCAAATCTTTAGACAACCAATCCCCCTTAATAAGGGCTGTTCTTATCGGTTACTAGACTTACCTTTCCATTTCTTTAGGATCTATGCTGCCTGGATTTCGATGGACAGAGTTGCTCTCAAAGGGATCTTCAGTGGTAACAGAATCTCCGCTAATTGAGTTAGTTATTGAATTGTAACCACGTCTAGCTGGCACTAAAACTGGCGGGGCCATAGTAGTAGTTGTTGTTGTACTAGTAGTTATTGGCTGCCTTGTGGGGACAATAGGCGGAACTGCGCCCCCAAAACTGCGTCTAGACCAATCGGGTAATTGCCTATTGCCGCTAGCGCTAATAAATTCAACATCATCCGTATTATCGTCACCTTTACCCGCGTGTGAGCTTACCGGTGCACCGAAAGTATTTGTGAATATATTATATGAATTGTAGGCCCAATCGTTGCCGACATTGTTATTGTTATTGTGACGTCTTACATTAACATGAGTTTGCAGAACTTTATTATAATAATTACGCGGACTAATACGTCTTAGTCTAGTAGCGGCTGCCGACGCTGCTGTAAATGTTAAATTCTTTGGTTTATTTTTAACACCTCCTTCATCAACTGTTTCAACATCTTTGCTCGTGCGTTGAACTCCTCGGGATGTTAGTGTGGCGGCATAAATTTGTGGCGAATTCAAATCTAATTTCTTTACTTGTCTGCCACCATTTGCCAGCATGTGATGTCTGAGCTTATGCGTTAGATGTTGCCGCTGATGATGATGATGGTTATGATGTAAAGTTGTGTGTTGTTTGTTGTTAGAGGCTGTTGTCGTAGAATCGGCTAGAACCGTTAATAGACTTAATAAAACTAGTAATACATTCACTGCTAAATATTGTGTGAATTTCATTTTAACGATGTAAATATATTTGGAAAGGCGGGTATTTTACAATAAAATGATTTGGTTCGTCTTTTTCCAATTTTATAGTGAATTGACTGATTCGCGTGCATTCAGTGGGATCCTAAAAATATGGGAAAAAAAAAACATTTTTATAGAAAACGATTTCGCAATCCTCTAGAAAGGTATTTATTTCATTTTACAAAAACAATAACTGAACAAATAAAAACAAAAATCGAAATCGAAATAAAACCCGAAACAAAAAATAAAAGCTCAAGTCCCAGATAATATTATGAGCATGAAGGAGGAAAATAGCAAAAGTGGAAATGATCACTTGCAAACGAATTTCGCTACTAAATTAAGTGAAGACAGCACACCGTGATAAAGTGTCAAAACTCCCACCCGTTTCATAAGCGGCCCGAAAAGCAAATTGAAGTCATCCAAATTTGATAAAATTGAGATTCTTCTCAAAGACCATACTATATTCTTCACCTAAGGGTCCGGTTTTCCTAACAATTCAAGTATTGGATGGATCCAAGAAATAGGTCGGATAAATTTTTAGGGGGAAATTATTATAATGGGCCAATTGTTATCATAACTTATAAAATTTATAGTTTTACCCATAAAACGGGCCAAAGGGACCTTGCGAAGAAGCGATAATATGTGAGAGAGTTCAAAAAATTTACTTGATTGATTGATTGAAATTTTTCATATCAATTTTAGATGTTGAGGTATTCCGCAATTTTTATCACGAAATTTTGCAAATTTCAAATAACTTTTTGAAAAGTTTCCATTATATACGAAGTAGCCGTAAAAATGAGACGTTGCGAATCATATTCAATAAGCTTATCCTTGGCCCCAAAACACATTGTCAAAATATGTCAAAAATTGCCATCTATAGGCTGAACACAAAAACATATGGCTTTGGGCATCAAACGGACGGAGTGACGACGAACAAACGACCGCACGGATAACAACAGACAGAGAGACAGACGGACAAGCTTAAATTGATAAAAACAAGTGATTCTAATTCGATCGGTATGGCAGAAGATCGATTTGTCGGGTGCTAAACATACATCTGAACAAACTTAATATACCGTTGTACTAGAAGTGATGTGGGGTACAACAATAGCAAGTAAATTTAATTTCGCTGAGCTACTTTCGTAAATAGTTCCAGCTGTGCAAGTTGGGATTATATCACTATTTCTTTGTTTGGGGAGTAAAAATGCTTGGGGTGTGGGTGTTTATGCATTAAATTTTTACATATTATATGGTATCGGTGCCTATTGTCTATGCTAGAGAACAGCAAGACTAAGGGCAAACTCTAAAAGGGTAAAGGGTGCAATGTTTCGTCCACTACAACTAAAGAGATAGATGGATGAATGGGCTGAATGAAGCGTTTAACAAAATACGCAAATAACTTAGCATAAGCACAACAACTGCTGAGATGAAAAACTTATTATAAACAGTTCCGAGCTACATGGCAGTTGAATGCAAAAAGTTAAAGCCCGAATACGAGTAAAAAGCGTTTAGAGAAAAATATCCGAAGAATATTATTTATGGGTCATAATGAAATAAATTTCAAAAATGCTAATCCGGAGAGAATAGTCAGAATTGAACTTACGCTGATCATAATCACTTTTGTGATTTCAAACGTCGTTGTTAATTGTTTGGAAATTAGTTCAACTTTGTAGTTTACATACAACTGTGATTTCTTTATTAATAATTATTCGATATATGTATGTATTTGTTTATTTATTTATTTATTTATTTATTTATTTATTTATTTATTTTTTTTTGTATATATCTTTACATATAAACGTGAACACATTTATTATTTAATTTAAATCAATTCAATTTCGTGTCGAGCTGTTGATATATAAACATTTTCCAAATGCGAGCACAGAACAACGAACGATAACGAACTTATATGCTTTAAAGTATTAAAACTTGTAATTTATCGATCACAGCTATATCCGATAGATTTTCTATGGAATTTTGAAAGCGAAAATAAAATGAAAAAAATCTTTTCAAAATATACTCTGATGAGGCGATGAGATAGATTTCAATTGAAATAAATCGTAATAGCTGCTAGCTTGTTAAGTATTGACTCGAACCTTATGAGAGAGAGTTCATATACCGTTGTAAGTCGTATTATGTATTATTATTGCCTTTGAAAAGATCGCCTTTCCGAATACGCTTTTGTCCATCGTATGTGTTTCTATTGAAATTAATTAAATTTCATAACTACTTTCGCAGTATTTGATTAGAAATACATTTCTATTGTTTCTGCTACTTAAGAACAGCGATTGATTTCAAAAAATTTCATTAGAAAGGGAAATCGTTCCGAGATATCATCATAAAAATAAAAAAATTAAAATTAAAATTAAAAATATCAAAGGAAGACATCAGCAAATCTTATGAAAATCATGCTGAAATCCAGTTTATCACAACGGAAAAATCTATCCCTTCGTTTTTATGAAAAAAAGTTCGTCCGTTAACACAACACTGCTGTGTATTCAAAACAAAAAAAAAAGCAATTTTCCATTGCATACCGAGGCAATGAGACATGCAACATAGATTGAAGCATAAGTTGCTTAGTATTTCTGGGATCTCAGTGATTTTTCTTCATTTCTTCTCCATTATTCGCCATATGTTCACCAGAGGTAAACAAAAATTCGGAATTAGTTACTTAACGCCTACAAGTGTTTCGTAAACACTTCGTATTGATTTCAAGTGACGAAGGATTAACGAAATCAATAAAATGAAACGCATCATAAGATAAATTATCGAAGAGCGGATCCAAATTTTTTCACGTACCGTGCGAAATATATATATTTTGACGTCGATCCAAAGACTTAAATCTTTACAATAATAAGTTAAATTGTCTGTCTGTCACGTACGTGAAAACAAGAAATATAATAAGAAAAATATTGGCAAAGATGTTGCATTGCCAAAAAAATCATTCATAACTAATTTTACAGCATCGTATAGGAAATTGAAATTGAAGTAGAAGTAATAAGAATCGTAAAAAAAAAGCGTTTTTGCATAACAAATACATTTTTGTTTTTCGTTTTACTATTTTCAACCGAACTGAAATACGAAACTCACACACCTGTATCAAATAATTTGTGATTTAATGTGCACATGTGTGTGAGTCACATCGGATCATTGCTGCAGTGTCCTGATATGGACCGTTTATTACGAAGGTGAGGCAAGACAGTTTTTGAAAAAATTAAAAAATTAAAATAACGATAATTAGAGGCAAAGCTTAAAAAGATCTTTTTATATCATCTTTAAGTTGATGAAAGTTTTAATTATTGAGGGTATTTTGCAGATATCAAGTCGGTCTAAAATGAATGAAAATATTCCACTGTACTAACAATGAAATAAATATTATTGATAACAAGATTTTATTATCAAAACGATCACTCACTCTTACCGAACACGAGACTGATTTTGTGAGTGTCATAAGCAGCAATCTCGAAACCAATTCCTTCTATTATTCCTTGTATCAGGCAATACCGCATTGCCGATTCTCTCTAAACTTTCGATCGAATGAATAATTATTTATTTTGTTTTGTGTCCTTTTGTATCATTTAAAAGAGGGCTAATGCAACTGAAATATTATTCCCTCAATTAAGGCGCAAATAGTTCATTGAGGTGTGCAAAAAATATGCCTACTAGTGTTTATAAATATTTTAAAATTTATTGAAATGCAAAACTTTAATTATCTCGCAATAACAGAAAATGGATTTGCTCCACTTTCAAATTATACGGCATATATGAAAGTTTAATGTACGATATGTTTATAACCAGCACTAAAGCATAGCTGTATGCTCGTTTTTCTAAAAATTATCGCCCATTGACGCAAGTGGGTCAAGCCTTTAAATGAAATGATGAAATCAATGAAATTTAACCTCAAAGCAAAACCAATATGTTTTGCTCGCGTATTTAATCAAATTAAAATTTCTCAGAAACTTTTAAACGTTATATCTGTTGGAACACATATGTAAATTTTTTATTTGGGGAAAAACTATTAAGAAAATTATATTCGGTTGGGGCCGAATCTCTTATATCCGTCACCGTTACCCCAAAAAAGGACAAGAATTATATTTTCATAATTTTTACCTATTGGGTGGGCACGATTGATTTGTTCGGTTTTTTAAAATAAAACTTATTTTTGAGATATTTATACAAGGAAAACACATGAAAATGAATGCATTCCCAGTTTTTGTTACATAGACAGATGGCACGTTGTGCACGTGTCCTTTGAAAAGTTTAGATCATTTTCAAATTCTTTTACATATTTGTTTGGCGGTATTTTCATTTTCCCTGACGGGAGAATTTTTACCACATATACTACACAGATGCGCGGACAGACGGATGAACAGACGAACAGACGCACATGGTTAAATGCATTTCGACTTTGAAATTGGCTAAGGTTTTGTATACTTTCTGCATTCTTAGAAGGTTGTTTCGGCGTCTTGTGTAAATATTGAAAGAAAAAAATTAGACTTTATTACACCGTAATACTGGGTAGGCGTGGCCAATTTTTACCATTTTCATACAATCACCCATGGAATATGCGTCGAAATTTTTATACATTAATCCATTACAACTTATGAGTAATGAGCAAAACATAAACTTTTTATTTCTTTTGAAAAGCAGAGATGTTTTTAATTTGCGTAGTATTGTGGGCGTGGCCGTCTATAAATTTGGTCCATTTTCAATACCAATTTGCATCTAAGAGCTTCCAATATTTCTGTTTAAATCGATTCACAATTTGATACGGATCAAGAATATATATACCATGTGGTGTCTCTGAAGCTGAAGGGTGAAGGGTGTTGCAAACGTTTTGACAAAATGATTACACCCCTCAGCCTTCTGTGATGGGCATAAAAACAGCTCATTTTTTTTTTTTTTTTTTTACTTTTAAGAATCATAAATAAAAGAAAATTCCTAAAAATGAAAATCGAAAAGATGTTAAATTCCTTTACCTAGGAACTATACTTAGAGGTAAAACATTGTAAAGCATACACATTTTGAGTCGTGATATATGATACTTTTAATGCTGAAATAAAAAGTATGTGTCTCTTTAAACAAAAAAAAAAAAAAAAAAAA